CGAGTTGGTGTGCGCAGATGATGCGCCCCCGCCGAAGCTCCCCCTTTACGTTGTCGTCAAGTTTGAAGGGTACTCGGGGGGGGAATGGTCGTCTCAGGAGAGGTATAGACGTTGTGTCCCTATTTCTCCCGTCGACACCACCTGGCAGGACGGGGGGACGCAGGTCAGGACGCAGCTGCCCCTTAGGCTCTGCTGGGCAATTACGATGCACAAGTCCCAGGGGCAGACTTTAGCCAAGGCCGTCATTGACTTGGGGCCCAAGGAGGCCTGCACGGGGCTTACTTTCGTCTGTCTCAGTAGGGCGAAGAGACTTGTGGACCTCATGGTAGAGCCCATGAGTTTCGACAGGATTGGTAACCTTGGAAATTCGCCGACGATGAAGGCTAGGCTGCAGGAAGAGGTTAGACTTGGGGAGTTAGCACAGAGTACGAGGGTCAAGTACACGGACATGGGCGTCTTCAGCGCCGTCGCGGGTAACCAATGACGTGAATTGCAAAGAGAAAAAGAAGAAGAAAGGGTCTCTTCCACCTCCCGCGGACGCACACGTCTGACGACAGTTACATCTATCAGCTGTCGCTCGTTTTAGCGACAGCTACTATATCTTACTCGCGATGGCCTATCAAGAGCTCTACAGCAGATTGCTGCTGTTACGCAACTCTCTCTCTTTCGTTGCCACTCTAAAGGATAAGGATGGCTCTGTTACACAGCTGGGTGTTCAAGCTTGGGGTGTTGACAATTCAATAGCAGTTGACATGTCTGCTGGAATCGACGAAAGGGCATTCGTCCATGAATGGCAAGGAGCTCAAGCGCAAGCTGGAGCGGGACACAGGGATCAATGTCGCCCACCGGACTGCAAACCGGATGAAGATGACAGCAAGGGACGGCGACAAAGCGACGACGGCGGCTGGGTACCAGCTGCTGGGTTCTTTCTGCGACCTGCTTCAACAGCAGTGCCCTGGTTCGGTCGCGGAAACCCAGGTGAGAGATGTTTNTGTGTGGCTAGGACCGTACTACTGATGGAAACGTGTGGTGTGTGGTGTCCACGGGCGACCGGTGTTGGTGATATGGCCACTACATGATGTACTTGTAAGAGCACAGCTCTCAACAGCATAGCCCTCAGCAGCACAGCTCTCAACAACATCAGTAGCAAGGTAGTCTGTCGGCAGTGTGCAGTCTGTCTGTGTGTTCAGCGCCGATTGATTGTTGGTGACCCCTTCGTTTCATTCCGTCCTCGCTATACATACACCAGCGTTAGCTTGGAAGGTACCACACCGAGCCCAATTCGAAGCTCAACTGCTCCACGACGAAGAGGGTTGCCACAAGAAGATTCTGTCGCTCAGCCATTTTGATGACTCTTGATTGATTGTGTCATGTCGATTGATTGATGTCGATTGCTTCGATTGCCTTGTAATCTCGCCTGATGATCGGTTAGGGGGGTCAGTGTCTTGTGCGACATGGGTAATTATATTTACGACACCGGTCTCGTAATTCTTATATACGACACCGCCAATATATCAGCCCACAGAGCTCTGATTGGCGCCAAACCAATTGCGTTGGGTAGATATGACTTGTGGCTATCACCCAAGCGTTTTGGGGGCGAAATCCGGTCAGTGGTTGCAGAGATATGCTCAAAAAACGGGGCTCAGCAGCTGTGCCCCTTTTCTGAGCATATCTCTGCAACCACGGACCTCCAACAGACACCAAATAACTTGCGTTGTGGTGCCACGACCCACCGCTATCATCCAAGCTACTTGGAGGGGAATACCAACAGGATACCGAACCCAAGCGTTTTGGGGGCGAAATCCGGTCAGTGG